CAAAGTAAAATTGTCACCGCGCACTCTAAGTATGGAGATTTATTTTACCTATAAGCATAATTGACAAGTTAAGAGAAATATACCCATTGAATATTTGAGAAGGTGAGGATGTATAAATGGAAGGTTGCTCGCCACTGCTTCCAAAAGAGGCAATACTGCCTGCAACGAAGCTTTTGCAGATGATGTTGCTGAAAAATCAGATTATATATTACTATAATACTCTAAAACCAGGAGTGTAAGAACCAAATCAATATCTGGATCAGCTAAATGTTATTTCACCTACCTGGATTTACTAGTGTAAGAACCAAGTCGATTTCTGGATTGCGAGCTGCCACTGAAATTGCAAGACATCCACCAAAAGAATCCCCAATTATATATATTGGTCTGCTTGGCGACAAAGCATTCTCATGTTTGACATATTCTTCCACAATTTGTAATAAACCTGTATACATTATAATTAAGCAGGCGTCAAGCTTGCAAATGTGATGTAAGCTAAAAAAGATATATTAAATTTAGCAGTATTTTAACTGTTGTGATCATACAATGAATCCTCAGTCACTAATCTTTGTAAGATATAACGGTGATAAACATAGGAAATGCATAAGAGCATCTACTCTACAGCCACGGTAGGTAAATCTTCCTCCTCAAATGCCCGCAGACATGCCCGGACGCGTTCGTGGGCAGCGACTGATTACACTTTAAATATTTTTTTGTACAACCGCACACCTCAATTAGTAAATCTCAAATCCATACAAAACGCATGCAATGTACGTAAACGTTGCAACACAAGTCATCCGGTTACTACATCAGGACGTGTCATCGGACTATCAAAAATTAGCATGTTCTATCTATATATTAGCTATGGATAAGACCATCCATGGCAGCCATTGCCTTTCCCGGCGCCATTGTCGTCTTTCTCGCGGAAGTAGCACTCAAAAACGCAAAATGGATCGAGTCGAATCTGCTCGTTGCCGGAGATGTCCGGCCGGTCGCTGTCCTCCTTCTCGCCTTTGGTCGGCAGCCCGACCATGGCATAGACCGCTCGATTTTGCTCTCGGGAAAGGGCGCACGTGTTCCTTCACTGTCGCTTCTTGAGGATGCGGGCACAGATGGCTTCCTCCTCTACGACAGCGCGTGCCGCCGGCTACCCTTATCCTTCCCTTCCCATGACGGGCACACCGGTCCTATAGCACTCATACTCCGGCGGACCAGAGATGGGGAGGCTACTGGACCATGATGATCCAGCCCCGACGGATCTGAGCGCCCGTTGCGCCGATGCAATGGATTCGCGCCGGACAGACCCCCCGTCGGTCGAGCGCAGTCCTCCCGGGAGTGGCGGAGGGAAATGTGGATGATCATAGCACCCCTCCCCCCCAACCCACACGGGACGACACCCAATCGACGGATCCGGACTGGTCGGAGTCAAATCCGCTGCCCGCCATGTCGGAGTCGGAGATCACCGGACAGGAGCTTGGGGCAGAGTGGACTGGAGTGGAGCGGCTAGGGTTTGACCTGGTGATCGAATGTGGACGAATATGTGAGGTCGGATGGGCCAGCGTAGACCGGATCCGACGTGGTAGATTTGTCCGGGCAACGCCATATTCACCCCAAATTGGAGTTGGATATGAGTGGTGCCAGGTGCCAGGTAGCCCGGACGTTTGAGACTGGTTTGAGGTGCTCGTCTGAGTCGCTTATTTTGACCGATCAGTGACCGGGCCGTCCGCACAGCCATTTAAGAGGGGTTTGAGGTCCTACTATAGATGTTCTAACTCTATTATTTTTTTCATAGGATAAGCGAGAGAAGAATCAAACAATCACCACCCCACGTGCTCTACACATGGGACACCGTTGTCTCCTTGTTTAAGATTTGTCCATTTGAGGTCTTTCTATAGCAAGTAAAGACGGTCAAGTACTTGCGAGGGCATAGAGATGTCAAGCAAATGTAAAATAATAATATATGAAATATTCCTCCATCGATACCTTCAAATGGTGTGCGGTCATTTACTGGTATATGAAAGCAGCAAACCTCAAATACTCTGCATAAAAAGAAGATGAAAAGTTTAATTAGAACATAAACAAGGGTTTACTTCTTTCTTTTGACAGAATATTTCACCGAGGTGACACCCCGGTCTACACACCCATTATCATGGGTTTACTTCATACAAGCAAGAAATGACAGTGTAATACAGTATGGCGCATGACTATCATGATGGACAACTTTTTAAAGCATAAAAGGACAGTATTTTCCAAATGGTTGACTGTCCTCTTTTGATATAGAAACAAAACCATACTCACTTGCCCAGTGATTTGTGGTGCAGAATGAGCTCCATTCCAACACCATCGACTCCTGCAGCTCAGATCCAAAAAAATTAAAATAAAACAGCATTAGGCTTCGAGCAGAGGAAAGACACACGACCGATTTTGCTTACAAGAACGAACAATATCGTTGAGCAGTATCTCCGAGACCAACCAACCTGGCAAGAAGAGCAGCAGCGGCGCCCTGTCGACCTCCGGCCGGCCGCACTCCACGGGGCAGAACCACCGCGGCGGCCCGCCGTCGTCCCTGGGCATGGCCCTCACCGCCTCCCGGTAATCCTTCATGGTGACGCTCCCGAACCCGTCATCATAAAGGACCTCCAACCGCGACTCCTCCGCCGGCCTCTTCCTACTCCTCTTCTTGCTACCGCCCGGCTCATTCCCGTTCGTTGCACCGACGGGGCTCGCACGGCGGAGGCACGTCCGTGCGTGCCGCCTCAGATAGCCGCCGCCGCCGCCGCACGGGTTCACGCCGAACGGGCGCAGAATGGTGTGCGGGACAATGGACATCGAGGAGAAGAAAGGGAGGGAGGGACCAGAGTGAGTTGGGAGCGAGAAGACAGAGTCGACCGGTTGAAGTGCATGAATTTGTAGATGGTTTGCAGCTCAGCTCATGGACTTGACAGTAGATTAAACGAAACCTCAGTCCACTTCCACATACTGTGCAGCCATTACTCGCAATGGATGGAGCTAACGGACAAGCAGCCCACGTGCCAGACAAGCACTACTACTGACATGTGCTATTGCAGTACCAAAGCTCGTGCAGCTTTCGTCGTGCTGTCACGGTCTCGATCTCCCTACAGCACGTTTGGTTGCGTTGCTGAATTGGCTCTGAACTCTTCGATGCCAACGTGCGCTTGATCGCCACCGTCCGTGCCGGCAATCGGAGGGCTCACGTTTCTCCATCCGCGGGAGCCGCTGGCTGGCCCGAGAGTCCTGTAGTGTGACGCACCAAAACTCATCGACACTGCCTTATTTGGATGGATGCGTGGCCGGCTATGAGCTCTGGACATGTTTATATCACATCATGTTTGTGGCGTCTTCATGTGTTTATGACACAGCCTCTAGACCCATCCTCAGAGGGAAAAGTGCACATTCTGAATTTTGTGACCGTTGCTGAAAATTTACATAGCACGAATAAGTTTAAACATCGGAACTACAAGCACTTCCATAGATGTTTGAGCGGTTGAAAGTCATAATGAATATTCAGCTGCATTTCTCGGAGAAACATGTCATGTGGCACTTCACATCCATGTGACGGATATCCATGAACCAGAGGAGCCCATGATAGAAGCTTATCACACTCCTGGTCTACAATGGGGCTAAAAGGCTTGTTCTCATAGGTGCACCGTCATGCTTACGGTTTAGACCGTATGCTACATCCAGTTCATATTTGAGATAGAGTTGTCGAAGAAACAACAAAAGAGTAGGGGTATTGCTAGTAACATGGTTGCAACAAAGAAGTAGGGGGTGTACGACTTCCTTATGGCAAAGGTTGCCGTATACCAATAAGATTGTTGGCACTTTGATGTCTTTTGAATATTTCGTGCTAGGAAAAGCATCGAAGGGGCTTGGTCATCGACGAGGCCATACGAGGCTTTCCAAGGTTCACTTCAAACTTCTTTTCTTCGACATCAGTTTAAGCCGTACAGAAATTTCAAAATCAGAGACCAATTCTTCTCTTGAAGGTGGGATGTGGGAGGGATACATAGGTAAATGTTGGTCCACTAGTCTATGAAGGAATAAGAAGCATGAGTAGGTGGTGCATGGTCCATGGTGGAGTAAATTGCATAAAACCACCACTTTGAGGGCTAGGTTTGCGAAAAACACTAGGATACAGATTCGCTACAGAACGCACCACGTCTAGCGTAATTGTTTTGCAAAAACCACTGATCGGCGGATCGGGCCGTGTTAAGTGAGTTTATGACAGATGGGGCCCGTTTTTCGCCTACGTGGCACTCCAGGCCGTCCCGACAGCCGGCAGGCGGCGTTAGATGGCGCCGTTGCCGCCGTTCGGTCCTAGCAGTCAAAAGCGTGAACCGTTTGTTGGGGAACGTAGTAATTTCAAAAAAATTCCTACGCACACACAGGATCATGGTGATGCATAGCAACGAGAGGGAAGAGTGTTGTCTACGTACCCTCGTAGACCGTTCGCGGAAGTGTTGTATCAACGCAGTTGATGTAGTCGTACGTCTTCACAATCCGACCGATCCAAGTACCGAAAGCACGGCACCTCCGAGTTCTGCACACGTTCGGCTCGGTGACGTCCTCGCCTTCTCGATCCAGCAAGAGGGGCGAAGTAGTAGATGAGTTCTGGCAGCAGGACGGCGTGGTGACGGTGTTGGTGAAGAACAATCTTCGCAGGGCTTCGCCTAAGCACTACGAAAACTATGACGAAGGATAAACTAGAGGGGACGGGGTTGCCGGCACACGGCTTGATGTTTCTTGATGTGTCTTTGGTGCTAGCCCTGCCCCTCAAAGTCGGTTTTGCCCGAAAGGCAAGAGTCCCACTCGGACTCCAGGACCAAACGCCACAATCTTTGGCGTCTGACCCAGAAGCCATGGGCCTCGGCGTCTGGCCCAGGGCCAGACGCCAGGGTCTCCGGCATTTGGCCCCCTAGCCTCCGCAAAAATCCTTTTGCACCGACTTATAGCCCCGTGGGCCTGACCCCTTGGCCTAACCATATCATCCAATATATGAATCTTTACCTCCGGACCATTCCGGAGCACCTCGTCATGTCCGTGATCTCATCCGGGACTTCGAACAACATTCGGTTACCAACATACATAACTCATAAATATTATATCGTCAACGAACGTTAAGCGTGCGGACCCTACGGGTTCGAGAACTATGTAGACATGACTGAGACACCTCTCTGGTCAATAACCAATAGCGGGACCTGGATGCCCATATTGGCTCCTACATATTCTACGAAGATCTTTATCGGTCAGACCGCATAACAACATACGTTGTTCCCTTTGTCATCGGTATGTTACTTGCCCGAGATTCGATCGTCGGTATCTCAATACCTAGTTCAATCTCGTTACCGGCAAGTCTCTTTACTCGCTCCGTAATACATCATCCCGCAACTAACTCATTAGTTGCAATGCTTGCAAGGCTTATAGTGATGTGCATTACCGAGTGGGCCCAGAGATACCTCTCCGACAATCGGAGTGACAAATCATAATCTCGAAATACGCCAACCCAACAAGTACCTTTGGAGACACCTGTAGAGCACCTTTATAACCACCCAGTTACATTGTGATGTTTGGTAGCACACAAAGTGTTCCTCCGGTAAATGGGAGTTGCATAATCTCATAGTCATAGAAACATGTATAAGTCATGAAGAAAGCAATAGCAACAAACTAAACGATCAAGTGCTAAGCTAACGGAATGGGTCAAGTCAATCACATCATTCTCCTAATGATGTGATCCCATTAATCAAATGACAACTCGTGTCTATGGTTAGGAAACATAATCATCTTTGATCAATGAGCTAGTCAAGTAGAGGCATACTAGTGACACTCTGTTTGTCTATGTATTCACACATGTATTATGTTTCCGGTTAATACAATTCTAGCATGAATAATAAACATTTATCATGATATAAGGAAATAAATAATAACTTTATTATTGCCTCTAGGGCATATTTCCTTCAGTCTCCCACTTGCACTAGAGTCAATAATCTAGTTCACATCGCCATGTGATTTAATGCCAATAGTTCACATCACCATGTGATTAACACCCATAGTTCACATCGACATGTGACCAACACCCAAAGGGTTTACTAGATTCAATAATCTAGTTCACATCGCTATTTGATTAACACCCAAAGAGTACTAAGGTGTGATCATGTTTTGCTTGTGAGAGAAGTTTAGTCAACGGGTCTGCCACATTCAGATCCGTAAGTATTTTGCAAATTTCTATGTCAACAATGCTCTGCAAGGAGCTACTCTAGCTAATTGCTCCCACTTTCAATATGTATCCAGATTGAGACTTAGAGTCATCTGGATCAGTGTCAAAATTTGCATCGACGTAACCTTTTACGACGAACCTTTTTGTCACTTCCATAATCGAGAAACATATCCTTATTTCACTAAGGATAATTTTGACCGCTGTCTAGTGATCTACTCCTAGATCACTATTGTACTCCCTTGCCAAAAATAGTGTAGGGTATATAATAGATCTGGTACATAGCATGGCATATTTTATAGAACCTATGGCCAAGGCATAGGGAATGACTTTCATTCTCTTTCTATCTTCTTCCGTGGTCGGGCTTTGAGTCTTACTCAGTTTCACACCTTGTAACACAGGCAAGAACTCTTTCTTTGACTGTTCCATTTTTGAACTACTTCAAAATCTTGTCAAGGTATGTACTCATTGAAAAATTTATCAAGCGTTTTGATCTATCTCTATAGATCTTGATGCTCAATATGTAAGCAGTTTCACCGAGGTCTTTCTTTGAAAAACTCCTTTCAAACATTCCTTTATGCTTTGCAGAATAATTCTACATTATCTCCGATCAACAATATGTCATTCACATATACTTATCAGAAATGTTGTAGTGCTCCCACTCACTTTCTTGTAAATACATGCTTCACCGCAAGTCTGTATAAAACTATATGCTTTGATCAACTTATCAAAGCGTATATTCCAACTCCGAGATGCTTGCACCCATCCATAGATGGATCGCTGGAGCTTGCATATTTTGTTAGCACCTTTAGGATTGACAAAACCTTCTGGTTGCACCATATACAACTCTTCTTAAATAAATTCATTAAGGAATGCAATTTTGTTTATCCATTTGCCAGATTTCATAAAATGCACCAATTGCTAACATGATTCAGACAGACTTAAGCATAGATACGAGTGAGAAACTCTCATCGTAGTCAACACCTTAACTTGTCGAAAACCTTTTTGTGACAACTCTAGCTTTGTAGATAGTAACACTACTATCAGTGTCCGTCTTCCTCTTGAAGATCCATTTATTCTTAATGACTCGTCGATCATCGGGCAAGTCAATCAAAGTCCATAATATTGTTCTCATACATGGATCGCATCTCAGATTTCATGGCCTCAAGCCATTTCGCGGAATCTGGGCTCATCATCGCTTCCTCATAGTTCGTAGGTTCGTCATGGTCAATTAACATGACCTCCAGAACAGGATTACCGTACCACTCTGGTGCAGATCTCACTTTGGTTGACCTACGAGGTTCGGTAGTAACTTGATTTGAAGTTACATGATCATCATCATTAGCTTCCTCACTAATTGGTGTAGTAGTCACAGGAACAGATTTCTATGATGAACTACTTTCCAATAAGGGAGCAGGTACAGTTACCTCATCAAGTTCTATTTTCCTCCCACTCACTTCTTTCGAGAGAAACCCCTTCTCTAGAAAGGATCCATTCTCAGCAACAAATTTGCCTTCGGATCTGTGATAGAAGGTGTACCCAACAATTTCGTTTGGGTATCCTATGAAGATGCACTTCTCCGATTTGGGTTCGAGCT